CCTCTTTTCACTGCACTTTTTTTTTTTTTTTTTTATTTAATTCCATTGAGTTTACCCATGCGCAAACATCTTCCCTAAGTGAGTCGTTTAATCTTCCGAGGAGGAAGCGGACCCCCCCCAGGGGTGACAGCGCTGGTTTTGTTCCATCTGTTGACCATCACACCAGGTAGGACAGCATATAGAAACCAAAGTAGAAACGATGAGAATTCCATGGACATAGACGAAAGAACAATCCCGTACCACTCAGTGGATGTCATTTTTGTTCGTCTTATGTTGGTGGAGAGGGGGTCCACAAATGTGGATTGAAAAAAAAGGGTCGGCTCTGTTCCCTACCCGACATGAATGTTCTGTGCATGCGTAGAAGGATCTGAATGGTATACCAGTGTATCTCTCACCTGGGACTTTTCCTCCCACATGGATTCCTTTCACTTCCCCTTCCCTGTAGCGTAATCCGCAGTTTCCCTCACCAGAGAGTCAGCCCTACGGCGTTCATAAGGGGGAGGGGGGCACTCAGGAGCAAAGTGGCGTCTTGTTAGCGAGTCGTCCTGCGAGCCAGTCATCTTGTCAACGTGTCGCCTCATCAACGTGTCGCCTCATCAACGTGCCGCCTCATCAACGTGCCGTCTCATCAACGTGCCGTCTCATCAACGTGTCGTCTCATCAACGCACCCCCCATAGTAGCCCCTTCCATAGCGGCGTACCCCACGTCACAGAAGGTGGGCCCCGTTGAAGGAACGACCCCGCCGGCCAAAACCACGTTGCACCTGTAGGGATTGACCAAGACAAAGACGAATGTGAACCACGCCTCGCCTCACCTCACCTCACCTCATGGATTCTGTTAATAAGTGCGTCATCGGGACGAAGATCTTCGTCAGGGATAAACAAAAGGTAAATTTTCTCAACCATGAGAAAGAGCTCCGATGCATGGTCGTACCGATGTCGTTACTAGGTTGTCTTCCTCAGATGCAGCTTTTCTTTGTTTTCCCTTTTTTGAGCGCCTTACCGGTTGCTCCTAGTCCAAGCGACGTGGATGCGCTGTTCGAAGCACGCAAACAAGTTAGCTGCCAGTCAGTTTATCGACCCCCATTAACCTCTCCCGATTAACCGCTCCCCTGTCAGGTGTGGGTCTGCGCCGAAATCATAAAGGAAGAAACGGATCTCGTGGCCAAGACGGAGGATGACGAGATCGTTGTGCTGAAGGAGAAGGACGAGTTCTACCTTAGAAATTTGGGTGCGTTATGCGCGCCCCGATGAGTACGCGCAGCGTGAGTCGTCCAGCATCCCCAAAATGTTGTTCCCCCCCAGGATTAGCGAATCGTCTTATTCCTCTTCCTCATTTTAGTCTTCTTCCCCTTCTTCCTCTTCTTCCTCTTCTCCCTCATCTTCTTCTTCTTCCTCATCTTCTTCTTCTTCCTCATCTTAGTCTTCTTCCCCATCTTAGTCTTCTTCCCCATCTTAATCTTCTTCCCCATCTTAGTCTTCTTCCCCTTCTTATTCTTCTTTTCCCCTTCTTCCTCTCCTTCCTCATCTTCTTCTTCTTTTCCTCTTCCCCTCCTCAGACGTATTCGACTCGAGCGGTCTCTCCGCCCCCGCGGACTTAACGAATCTGACGCACCTCCACGAAGCATCCATACTTCACAGCTTGAATCTCCGCTTCGATATTGACGAAATATATACTCTCACTGGACCGATTCTGATCGCGGTGAACCCATTTAAGATGATTCCAGATCTCTACACAGACAGCATGCTAGCTAAACATGTGCAACCGATTCAGTCCAAAAGCCCACACATCTTCTCCACCGCCAACAGTGCATACTTAGGCATGTGTCAACATAATAAACCTCAAACCATATTAATAAGTGGAGAGTCTGGTGCAGGGAAGACAGAATCGACAAAATACGTGATGAAGTTTCTTGCTTGTGCAGGTTCAGACATTAAAAAGAGATCCCTCATTGAGTGCCAGATATTAGAGAGTAATCCTCTGTTGGAGGCATTTGGGAATGCAAAGACGCTGAGGAATGACAACTCGAGTCGCTTTGGGAAATACATCGAATTGCAATTTTCTGTGGACAGAAAAGGGGCGGGTCAGTACTACACGAAAGGGAAGCTGTGCGGCGCGAAGATCCGGACCTACCTTCTGGAGAAGGTGCGCGTTTGCTACCAGCAGGAGGGCGAGCGCAACTACCACATTTTTTACCAGCTCTGTGCAGCAGCAAGGGAGGCAGAGAAGGAAGTGGCAAGGCAAGTGGTGAGTGGACCGCCTAACGAAGCGATTGACCAACCTCCTAGGAGCGCTTCCAACCCCGATAACGCCGCTAATTCTGCTAATTCCTCTCTGGAGCCGCCCCGCGAGTACCGCTTCCCCGCGACGGAGAAGTACAGGGACCCCCACATGGGGGCGAAGCCGATGAGCATAAACCTGAGTGGCTTCCAGAGCCACGAGCACTTCCGCTACCTGACAAAGTCCAGCGTGCACGAGCTGAGCGACGTCAACGAGCTGGAGCTCTTCGAGACGACAGTATACGCCATGGAGACCATCGGCATAAGGGAAGCGGAGCAGCACCAGATTTTCCGTGTACTAGAAGGGATCCTATATCTCGGCAATGTCCTATTCAGTAATGACGAAAGTAAGGAAGAGTGTCGAATTTTGGACGATTCTCTATCCGATTTGAAAAAAGCTGCATCTTTTTTAGATGTAGATGCAGAAGAATTGGAAAACGCGCTCTGTTACAGAACCATTGTAGCGAATAATGAATGCTACAAAAAGCCAGTGAATGCAATCGTAGCGAACGATGTGAGGGATGCACTAGCCAGAGCCATTTATGGATGTCTATTTTTAAAGGTCGTCGAAAGAACAAACGAATCGGTAGGATTTCTAGAAGACACGAATCTGCTATTCTGTGGCGTTCTGGACATATTTGGGTTCGAATCTTTTGCAGTAAATTCATTCGAGCAATTGTGCATCAACTACACAAATGAATGCTTGCAACAGTTTTTCAACAACTTCATATTTAAGTGCGAAGAGAAGCTATACATTGATGAGGGAATCGAGTGGGACCCACTAGACTTCCCCGACAATGCCGATTCGGTGAATCTCCTTGAATCCAAACCGTATGGTGTGTTCTGTATGCTGGACGAGGAATGTTACGTGCCATCCGGGAAGGACAAAACGTTCTGCAGTAAAATTATTAGCAAGCATTCTTCCCCCGTTGGTACTCGAACCAACCGATTTATGGCTGTGAAGACGGACCCCTCCTCTTTTGTGATTATCCACTTTGCTGGAAAGGTTACGTACAATTCATCTGGATTTTTGGAAAAGAATAAAGACCAGTTGTCGGCCGATGTACAGAAGGTACTACTCCACAGCCAGAGTGAATACACGTCTTCCCTTTTTTACAAACATTTACGAAGAAATGTGGAGAAAAAACGACTTCAAACCGTTTCCAGTGAATTTAAGGAACAGCTTCATCAGCTGATGGGAAGAATCAAAGAGACTGAACCTCATTTTATAAGATGCATTAAACCTAATTCGAAGAACGTGCCGGACATTTTCGATCGTGTCTCTGTGAATGAGCAGCTCAAGTACGGGGGGGTGTTACAAGCCATAAAGGTTAGCCGTTCTGGGTACCCGGTAAGACTTACACACACAGACTGCGTTAAGGACTACTCCATTTTGCTACCCAAGGAAGGGAAGAAGCTGTTTCGTGATTATGAGACCAAATCCTGGGCGCAGAAGGCCACCTTTGTGCTTAAGCAGCTGCATCAGTGCGACGCCATACAGAATTTGATCAGCTCGCTGGTCGCGGCGAAGCAACGGCACCAGATGGAGGAGGCCGCAGTCAGGGGGGGGGTGAGCAAGGGTTCTATTGGGGGTCATGAAGCCACGTGTCATAGTAAAGCAGACGCCTCCAGCACGGTCAACACTGCTGAGAAGGAAAACACTGCTGATCAGGACAACGCCGCTAACCAAGACAACGCCGCTAACCAAGACAACGCCGCTAACCAAGACAACGCCGCTAACCAAGACAACGCCGCTAACCAAGACAACGCCGCTAACCAGGACGACGCCGCTAATCACGCCCTCATCTGGGCGGTGGGAAAATCTCTGTGCTTCTTCAAGAGCGACGCGTACAACGTACTGTCTACGCTGCGAAGCGACTTCCGATCCGCGCAGGCAGTAATCGTACAGAAGAACTACAAAGCGTACCGACAGAGGAAACTCTTCCTGACGATGAAGAGAAAAGTGGTGCTGCTGCAAAGGTGGACTAGACACATCCTATTGATCATTCGAAATGAGCGCACTAAAGTGGAGCGAGCCACCGAACTGATCTGTCGACACATATATGGATATAGCATTAGAAAAGCTTTCCTGCACAAGAGAAGATCCGCGGCGATTATACAGGCACACATGAGAGGCTGCTTAGCTAGGAAGCATTACAAGGAGTATAGAATTAACCACTATGCGAGCCTCATTAAAGCGACGTGGAAGATGCACAAGGAGAGGAGACATTTGGCTGACATGAAACGAGCAGTCAAAAAAATCCAACTTAAGTGGAAAGGAATCCTAGCCAGGAGGCAGCTGAGGAGACTAAAGGAGGAAGCCAAAGAAGTCGGAGCACTTATTCAGAAAAATCAATGCTTAGTAAAGGAAATAGAAAAAGAGAGAAAAAAAAAGATGGAAGCTGAGAACAAGCTGCTGAAAGCCTTTGCCAGTGTGGAGAAGCTAACCAAGAGGGTCGACTTACTCGAAAGGAACAACCGGGACAATGAGAATGTTATTAAGGGATTGATGGAGAGGCTGGCTCAGGCGAATGCGCCATCCAGCAGTGAGGTCCCCATGGAATGCACGAGGATAAGGGTATCCCCTCTACCCCGCAGGGAGGAAACTGCAGCGGAGGGATCGGCCGCGTCTCCCGAAATCGCCGCGTCTCCCGAAATCGCCGCGTCTCTCGAAATCACCACGTCTCCCGTTACTACCGCGTCTGCCATCACCACGGCGTCTTCAATCATCGCCGCCCCTCACGAGATGGGCACACTTCCACACACCGACGAAATAGAGAACCTCCTCAGCAAAATAAAAAAACTGGAATGGGAAAACAAGGAATATCTGAAGAAAAACAACACGCTGAATGAACGTTACAATCAGCTCCTCGGGCTTATGTCCCATTTTAAGCAGAATGATGTTGGGCTTGAAAGTGGAGAGGCGGCCAAATTGCTTCAGAGGGGTGTGGAGTGGCGCGCTATAAAACAGCAGGGTGAGACTTGGACGGAGCAGTCTACAGAGAAGAGAACCCCACAGAGCGGCGAATTGCACGATGAGCAACTGAACGCGCGAAGAACAACTCACCGACAGAATGGAAGAGACGTGGACATACTGATGTGCGGCCCGAAGGGGGTGGGAAAGACGAGCCTATTGGAAGATCTCTTCGTCCGAATCGGAGACGAAATAAACCTCAATCTGTTACGAAAAAATAAAAAAAAAAGTGGAGACGACAGCAACTCGTTTGTTTACGACACATATGTAGTGACACATAAATCCTGTGCAGTAAAAATATGCGATTGGATGTATAGTTGTAGCAGGAGTGCAGAAGAAGGTTTGTTCAATTTGGTAAAAAGTTCTACATGCATCGTCGTAGTTTTCGACTCAAGCAACAGTGATTCCATTCATCCAGCGTTACATCTCCTTCAGGAAGCGGCCCTAACAAATGTAAAAAGAAGGACCAAACTGTATTTACTAGAAAACATATTTAATGAGAAAATAAATATGAAAGAGAACACCTGTGATGTTTCTTACTCCCTGAGGGTGGCAAAAGCATGCAGTGCTTCTTATGTGAAGGCATTGGACATATACGACATAGTGAATAATTACGTCTGTGGGGCGGAGTCTTACCTATGTTCCTTTCCTGGACAGACATCCCACATGCGCAGAAAGGATGATATCTTTCCGTGGCACCACTTCGCCAAACAGATCGGCGAGACGTTCCCTCTAGACGACTACAACGGTGGTGCATCTGCACATGCATATGCATATCAACATGCACATAAAATAGACCAGAGGGAAAAATCCCTGATCGAAAAAACACCCCTCCATGTGAATCATCTGAATTTACCCCCCGAGGAGGAATACCCTCCAAACTATTTCACACCGAAGAGAGACCAACACAAGAGTCAGCCAAACAAACAAAACAGTATGTATTCCATGGTTAGCTCATTTAAATCCCTTTATAGTGTCAATCAGAAAAAGAATCCACAAATCCAGTTTCTGAGAGAGTCCATGCCGTTAAATAGTTACGTATATGGTAGCAGAAAGTATAATGCAGAGATGGGGAAAGGTCTGCAGCCCATTTATGAAATCACACTCAAGGGCAGTGTACCCATCACTTATTTACTCATCGGACGAGACTCCATAGACAAAATGCACACGCTGCTCGCCGTGGGGTGCAAGGACGGACTCATCTACATTTATAAGTGTTTGCGAACCCCCCTGGAGAGCGCCCACGGCGGGCACTACTTCTACCAGGGTGGAGGAAGCGGTCTGAGCAGCGGTGTTACCGGTATTAGTGGTGTTGGCGGCCCGAGCGATCTTCCCGATCCCCACTGCGAGGACAACGCGAACATCACGTCGGCCAAGCTGCTAACCAAACTGTCGGGGCACAAGAAAGCCATCACGTGCCTCGTCTTCACATTCACAGAAGAGAAAATCATTTCCTCCTCAATTGACCGCACCATAAAGATATGGGAGGTAACCACTGGTTTCCTACTGAAAGTTTTTTCGGACTCTTCGGCAACTCTATCCGTTCTGTTGCTCCCTACCAATCTGGACCTCTTCCTTTGTTCCAACTGCACATCACTCCTTCGCATGGTAAACGTAAACACCGGTCATGTTAATCAGAAAATCAAACTGGAAAGTGAAATTAGGACACTAGAGATGGATGACACGGGACTTAATATCTTTGCTGGATCCAAGAATGGCACTATATATATCTTACAAATCGTCCACAATGAACGTCTAGAAATTCGATTCAAGTTACTTTTCTCCCTTTCACCGATAACATGTATCCGATTTGTTCCCAAACAGCCTCTCCTGGATTGTCCTCTCATCATTGTTAACTCCTGTGACAATCATATGGGAATAATCGAATGTGTTTATGCGTCCAAGGGAGTGGTCCTCACAAGCCTATCCGTTAAGCATCGAATTCGAATTAATCACGCGCTGCTTCCCATCCGAAACAGCTACTCCACGTTCGGGGGTGGCTGGGTCATTTCCGGCTCCGAGGATGGAAACATATACATTTGCTCCCTCTTGCCGCAGTCCAACTACAGACTCGTCTTCTTAAAACATCACAAGGTGGGGGAGGCACACATCGCACTTGCAGCGGTGTAGAAGCGGAGCATACGCGGAGAACACGCCTAGAACACACAGAGTAGACGTGGGGTAGACGTGGGGTAGACGTGGGGTAGACGCGGGGTAGACAGGGACAGACGAGGTGTCCGACCTCCTCGTTACACCAATTGTCACTCCTCATTGTTATCCCCTCATGATTATCCCCTCTTTGTCATCTCCTCATTTTCCCCTCCCCCTCGCAGGCACCCGTCATGGCCGTGGTGGTAAACGACATCGACACGCTCATGGTGTCAGGCGACTCTAAGGGAAACGTGGTCTTCTGGAGGCGGGCTTTCGTGTAGGGGCGTGTAAGCGCGAGGGAGCGCGCGAGGGAGCGCGCGCCGAACCGTATGTCCATTTAGGGCGTGGCGGACAAGTCATATGTCCATTTAGGGAGCGGGGGCCAAACCATATGTCCTTTTAAGTCGCATGCTCCGATTGGCTTCCCCCCAGGAGAGGCCTTACAAGGAGGGCATGCAGCAGATCGGTTCGCGCTGCCCCAGCTGCGAAAGAAAAAAAAAAACGAATTCACGATTTTCTTTTCTTTCTCTTTTCCTTTTTTTCCCATTTTTGAGGTGAATCGGGTGTGTCCCCGGTTGTCCCTGTATCACGTTTTCTCTCGTCGCACTTTCAATTTGTCGTCCACCGCCCTACTGTTACTCTCCTTCAAACTTTCCCAAAGGGGGGGAACAACTTCTACCAGTCTCTTTTTTTGGGGGAACCTCCCACCATGTGCTTTTTACAAATTGGGCATCATATAATGCCACACCTTTTAAATGGGGCAACACTTTTTTGCTACCCCGTTGTTTTATGATCGCCTCCCCATTTTTAACCCATTCGCGGAGAGGATTGGCTTATTATTTTTTTCTTCATCCTCTCGACTCGCTTCTTACTGTGCTTCGTCCTTCTGTCGCAACAGGACAGCGTAGTGCTCCCCCTCCTGCCATGTTAGGATATTTTTTGCGTGCTATGTTCCGGGGCAAGGGGAAAAAAAAAGAAAAGCCATCAGGGGGGTAGTGATAATACGGGTAAGCAAAATTACGACTCCACTTGTGTAGGCACAAAAAGAGCAGAAAAAAAAAAAACGTAGTGACATCCCGCGGGGACCACAAAAGGGAGAGAAAAAAAAAATGATAATTGAGAAGCATCGCAGAATGGAGGCCTTCCAATTGCTTTCTTAATTTTTTGTTTTTTTTTTATATGCCCCATTTTGCCCATTCTGTTAGCTCCCCAGCGAGTAGCCACTATATACTACATGGACAACTGGGGGCTGTGTTGTTGCCTTTCCCCTGGAGAGTAGAAGTCTGATGTGGGGGTGATGCCCCAAGTGGTGCTTCTTCATTTTGTGCGGAAGGATACAGCGGCGAGGTTTTCCTTAATAGGGGGAGGGTAGTGAAGATCACCGTTTCGGTGATGCTCATTCGGGGGGGGGAAAAACATCCGATAGGGGAAAGGAGGGGAAACCTACGTTGTGGGGGTTGCCTTTTTCCGACTGGGAGTTCACCCCGTGCCGCGACAATGCGTGGGAGAGCAGTGAACGCGGTGGACATGGACCAGTTTCGAGGCAACGCGATGAGCGCTACCAACGTGGAGAAGTTCCGAGGCAATGCTGCCAACGTGGAGGAGCTGCGACGGATAATCCAGCGCAGCAGTCTGCGGAAGGGATTCGTGCAAGATGTGAAGAACAACTGGGAGATTAAGAGTCTCAAATTCGGAATCATGAACAAGGAAGAAATAATAAAATGTTCTGAGGTGAAAATATTAAACAGAGAAATGTACAAAAATAATACGGGCATTCCTTACCCTTATGGAGTCCTCGATCTCAAGTTGGGAGCTCACAAAAGTAACTCCCTATGTGAAACATGTAACCGAAATTTTATGAACTGTTCAGGTCATTTTGGATACATTGAATTGAATTATCCACTTTTCCATGTGGGGTATTACAAATATATCATCTACATCCTTTACTGCATCTGTAAAGTGTGCTCACACATTTTGCTCAGCAGTGAGAAGCTTGAGTTTTATACTAATCTGAAAAGACATACCGTGGAGGATAAGTTTTTCAAAAAACATATTTTTAAAAAAATCCTCAACACCTGTAAGAAGGTGACAAAGTGTTACCGATGTGGATACCCACAAGGAGTCATAAAAAAGATCATTAAGCCCAGTTTAGACCAATTTATGAAATTAAAACATGTTATTAAAACCAAGGAGAATGGGAAAATGGTTATAAAAGAGGATGATTTGAATAGCCTTTACGTTTTGAATCTTTTCAAAAATATGAATCCATACCATGTGAAACTTTTAAATGTAGAAAATCCAGAGAAACTCCTCATAACAGCATTGCTGGTACCTCCAAATACGATTAGACCGTCAGTTATCATTGACGAACATGGGACAGCAGAGGATGATCTGACTTGTATTCTCTCAGAAATCACTCAGCTTAATAACACCATAAATAATCAGTGCAGTAATGGATATCAGACAAATCAATTCCTAGGCAATGTTGAATTTTTGCAATTACAGATAACGAGATTTATTAATAGCGATTCTCCAGCTGTGTCTCAGCTACTCGCCACTCAGAACATTTCGAAGCCTGGAAGGGGGATCTGCCAGAGGTTAAAGGGGAAAGAAGGTAGATTCAGATGCAACCTATCGGGGAAAAGAGTCGACTTCTCTAGCAGAACGGTCATTTCGCCCGATCCGAATATCTCCATCGATGAGGTCGTCATTCCTGAAATTATTGCCATGAGGCTTACCTACCCGGAGAAAGTCAATCGCTATAACATAGAACGATTGAAGAGGCTTTTAAAGAATGGGACGAACAGATGGCCTGGGGCTAACTACATCATAAAGAAAGGAACCAACCCGAGGAGTTACTACTCCACATTGGGTGGAGTCTCCTCCCTCGAGGCGGATTCCATCCTCGACGTGGTGAAGCGATACGTCGGCCGGGGCGACTACTCTCCCGCTAGCGGGCAGTCCATCTTCACAGCTCAACTGGGAAACCCACGCATAGAAAACCCCGTTATTAACAAAATCAGCCTCAAGTATGCGAACAAAAAGTTCGTCATAGAGAATCTCCAAGTGGGAGACATCGTGGAGAGGCACCTAATGGATGGAGACATCGTCTTATTCAATCGGCAGCCCTCTCTCCATCGGATGTCCATCATGTGCCACAAAGCCAGAGTGATGAAGTACAAGACCTTCCGATTCAACGTATGTGTCTGCTCTCCGTACAATGCCGACTTCGATGGAGACGAAATGAACTTACATGTGCCACAAACGGAGGAGGCACGGGCAGAGGCTTCATACCTGATGAATGTGAAGCACAATTTGATTACTCCGAAAAATGGAGAAGTGATGATTGCCTTAACGCAGGACTTCCTTTCTGCTTCGTACGTTATAACCAATAAGGATACCTTTCTCGATAGGGACTCCTTCTGTTTACTCTGCTCCTACTTCTCCGATGCGAAGGTCGATATAGAGTTACCCGTCCCGGCGATCCTCAAACCGAAGGAGCTCTGGACGGGAAAGCAGCTTATAACCGTCCTCATAAAGCCAAACAGGAAGGAAAACACGATTATCAATTTCGAAATGAAGGAGAGGGAATACTCAACGAAGAATGGTGACCTGAAGCATATGTGTCTAAACGATTCTTACGTCTGCTTCTACAAATCTGAGCTCATTTGTGGGTCCCTAGGGAAGAAGGTTTTGGGTTCGTCCAAGTATGGACTCTTTTACTACCTCATTCATCATAACTCTTCCTACGTTGCTCTGAAAATTATGAACCGTTTTTCAAAGCTAACCAGTCGATACTTCTCCAACAAAGGAATGACCATCGGGATTGACGATGTAGCTCCGTCGGAGACTCTCCTGCAGAAGAAAAAGGATCTTCTCCAAGAAGGCTATGAAAAGGTTAACAAAGAAATCCTTCTCTACAATGAGAAGAAAATGCAGATACAAGCGGGATGCACTTTAGAAGAAACTCTCGAAATTAAGGTAAAAAACATTTTAGATGATCTACGGAACGATGCAGGCAAGACGTGCAATCAGTATTTGGATCACCTGAATAAGCCTCTTGTCATGTTTAATTCTGGAGCTAAGGGAGCTCTCATTAACATCGCTCAGATGATTGCTTGTGTTGGACAACAGAACGTTACAGGCCAGAGGATTCAAAACGGATTCATTAATAGGACCCTCCCTCATTTCAACTTTCATTGTAAAGATTCTGAAAGTAGGGGCTTCGTGGAAAACTCCTTCTACACCGGTCTTAATCCGACGGAGTTTTTCTTTCATACTATGTCTGGAAGAGAAGGGCTCGTCGACACCGCTGTTAAGACTGCTGAGACGGGGTATATGCAGAGGAGACTCATGAAGGCACTGGAGGATTTGTCGATCCATTACGATTACTCGGTCCGATCCTGCGACAAACAAATTGTGCAGTTTATTTACGGAGATGACGCACTGAACCCGTCTTACATCGACAACAATAATTCGTATGCGCATCAGTTTGATAAGATCTTTGATCACATCACTTCCATTTCGTCTAGCAACATTCTTCTGTCCTATGGGAAGTCCCTCCCCGATTCCTCCAGGATGGCAGCTTTCCCCACTTTGCCCTCTTTGTCTTCTTTTACTGCCTCCCCCATTTCGCGTATCGTCAACCGGGTGACCTCCAAGATGAGCGCCCCGGACACAGCGCCCTTCATTCCCCTGTCGCACGACGAGCACTTTGTGAGGCTGGTCATGGAGAAGCCGCAGCGAAACCCCAGGCGGGGCACCCAAGGGGGAGAAGCAGCGGAGGGAGAGGAAGTAGCCGCGGAAGTAGCCGCGGAAGTAACCGCCGAAGCAGATGGGGACGAAGAAGACGCGGCTCACGGGGGAGGCCCCCCTGGTGGGAAACCTCGCCACGGTCCATCCGCCGCCCTGGAAGGGAGAGTCAAAGTGGAAATAAGAGTCAGCGCATGTGTCGCCAAGGAGGAGCAGACAAAGCAGCGGAAGGAGCGTAACGAGCGTAAGGAGCCGAAACGGTCCAAGCAGCGGACGGAGCCAATACAGCCGAAGGGTCACCACCCCGAGGATGCTCCCGATGATGATCCCGATGAAGAGGCCACTGCCCAAAACAACTGCGTCCTGCCGCCACACAAACATCACTCGATTGCACGATTCGTAAATGATTATCGAAACGTCGTTGAGATAAAGACACTGATGGATAAGAATCAGATCTGCCTGAGCGAGTCGGAAAAGAAACTCGTACGAAGTATGTACAGCCAGATGAGCAAAAACGTCGTGAAGAAGATCCAAATTGTTAATACGGTGTACCGGTCCGAGAGGGAAAAATCGGCTAGCAGTAAGGAGCAGCGTCATGGGGGGACGAGCCAGACGAACGTGAGGCACGCGCTGAGTGAAGACACCACTACCGCCTATGCACAGGGTTATCTCCCCAACATCAGGAAGAGAAGGCACGCACAGCCGCACATCGGGACGAGTGGAAGCCGCCACACGGATGAATTGGCCCGCCTCTACGAAAGCAAACTGTACAGACAAATGATAAAAAACGTAATCGCTTTTGTGAGTGTATTCCAATACATCGAAAAGAAGAAGCAACACTACATTCTGCTGCCATACGAGATTGTCCAGTGGACGAATTTTCTTCTCAACTATCTACCAGAGCTGATGCCAACAAACATATATGTCCACACAAAACTGTCTCAAAGAGAGAGTCCAACTCACCAGGAAAGGACAAAGACGATGAATATCTATATGAAGGAAATTAAAAAATGGTTAATAGTGAAGGCCATCAATGTGTACAAGTTTTTTAAGTACAAGAAGGGGGTTCACCTGATGACACGGAGTGATTACTTCGATTTTGTCTGCAGGGAGACCTATGATCCATCTTATCGATACCTCCTTTATGACTACCCCTTCGTAAATTTGAATCAATTGTATCTGTTTATTTTTTTTAATGTGTCAAAGTACTTCAAATACATCTCCGCTCCGGGGGACGCCGTGGGGTCCATTTCGGCACAGTCCATTGGCGAGCCCGGCACGCAGATGACGCTCAAGACGTTTCACTTCGCAGGTAGGAAGAGTGGCATCGGTGGGGAGGGGAAGAACCTCCCCCGCAATTACACTTACGTTATGCACCTCTTTGTAGCGATTCTCCTTTCCGGGGCTTTCCACGCCCTTCCACCACTTCTAACCCATTTCCATCGCTTTCCACCCCATTCCACCGCTTTCCCCCGCAGGCGTGGCGAGCATGAACGTGACCCTGGGCGTGCCACGAATCAAAGAAATCATAAACGCGTCAAGCACTATTCAGACGCCCATACTGAACATCCCCCTGCAGGTCAACGACAATTATAACTTTGCCCTAATGATGAAATCTAAGTTGGAGAAAACGACAATCAGAGATATCTGTCTGTATATAAAGGAAGACTACACCACACGAGGGATCTTCCTTTCGGTGAAATTCAACGAACAACTCATCCATGAGCTATTTTTAAACATAAATGCATACTCCATTAAGGACATCATAATGAGACAGAGTCATATTAACAAAATAAAGATAAACAAGATCCTTGTGGAGGTGGTAAATACGTATAAGCTACACATGTCGTTGAAGAATGACGAGTTTTTATTTTTTCAAATCGAGTCTCTGAAGAAGGGGCTGCTCGATGTCCTCATTCATGGGGACAAGGATATAAAGCGGTGTATCATTAAGAAGGAGGAGGTGGAAGTGGAGGTAGCGGGCGAGGAGGTAGACGTGACCGGCGAACAGATGGAGGTCACCGGTGAGGAGGTAGACGGGGTGGACGAACCCCAGCGGGGAAGGCCCCACGGCAAGCCCCCCCCTATTGCCCATGGGGACAACGATGACCACACTAAAGGAGGTGAAGCCTCCGCGAAGGAATGCCCTGGACAGAGAAGCCCCAATGAGGCGAAGCTGCGAAACATCATGGAAGCCTTTAAAATACAAATAAAGGAAGAAGTATCAAAAAGGGACAACCAAGCAGGAGGGGAAGAAGAAGAACCGACTGTCAACCTAGATACGATCAATGTGGACACCTTAAACTTAGAATACGTCGACATAAATCAAATAAGACATGAGAAAATTGACTTTTACGATGATGAGGGGAACCTGTACAGTGCAGGCAATGGCCCGGAATGCAAAAAAAAAAAAAAAAAAAGTCATTTACTCCATCCTTGTCGAGGGAAATTCGCTCAACTACGTCCTGGGGTTGGAGGGAGTGGATTTTAAGCATATCATTTCGAACCACGTGATTAATGTTTTTCAAGTGCTGGGCATCGAAGCCGCGAGAGTGACCATCATCAATGAGATAAAGAAGTGCATCGAGGCGTACAGCATAGACATCGATATCAGGCACATCATGCTGCTGGCGGATATCATGGCCTTCACGTAAGTGCTGCTGGCGTGTTTGGGTCGCTTGGGAGGGGTCGCTTGGGAGAGTTCCCTTCGGAGAGTTCACGTGGGTGCTTTACACCTCCATGTATCCACCCCTTCCCCTTTGTCCCCTATTCCCATCACTTCTGCTCACGTCACCCCATCTTATTTCCACTCACAGGGGAGATATCCTTGGGATAAACCGCTTCGGCATTCAGAAGGCCAGGCAGAGCACGCTCATGCTGGCATCCTTCGAAGAGACCAACGAACACCTCTTCGTTTCATCGTTCTTTAAAAATAGAGACGAAATAAACAACATCAGCGAGAGCATCATTGTGGGGAAGAACATCCCCATTGGCACGGGCGCATTCCAGCTCCTCTACGACTACAAGTTGTAAGTGCTCACGAGCGATGAAGTGAGGTGCTGCACGGTTGGCCATGAGGAGTGACCAGGCGAGGGGCCCCACCCCCGCTCACTCGATTTCGCCAATACACACATGCTCACCTCCTTCTTTTTTCTCATATTTCTCCCCGCAGCAAGCGAGAGGAAAGGAAGCTCACCCTTCTGGAAAGGGCGCAGCGGGAAATGGTCTAACGGACAGATGGCATGGCGGAAAGATGACATGCTGGAAAGATGACGTGGCGCACTGATGGCACTGCCCAATGGGAAGGGAAGCCAAGCCAGCTAAACGGGAAGAACCAAGTGCCCATCGAACAGGCCACGTCGTGGAACAATCTCCATTCTTAAATCCCATTCTTAAATCCCATTCGTAAATCCCATTCTTAAATCCCATTCTTAAATCCCATTCTTAAATCCCATTCTTAAATCCCATTTTTGAGAATTCCCCCCTGTCCTTTTTAATCACCCATTTGGAGGGAAAGAAAAAAAAAATAATAATCCGGGTAGTAACCCCGCAGACCCACGTTACACTCTCACCTCCAGTGCGGTTGACCCATTTTTGTTTTCACCTTCCGATTTTTCCAGCACACATGTGTAAATTTGTACGAACAAGTTGTGTATGCGTATGTATGTCCATCTGTTTGACTCTTTTTTTTTTTTTTTTTTTTGGAGTTTCACTCTTGTTGCCCAGGCTGGAGTGCAGTGATGTGACCTCAGCTCACTGCAACCTCTGCCTCCTGGGTTTTTTTCTCCTTCGAACCTCGCAACTCCATCAGTTTAACTGCCCTTCGCGCCGTGTGGGCAGAAGCAACCGGGAGAGTGCCGTCCCACGCCACGTAGGCGCTGTGAAAAAAGGAGAAAATGTGAGAAGGTAACAATCGCCAAGGACGATTCTTAGTTGCATGATAGAGATTCTAATATTGGGGCAACTTTTTTTTTTTTTTTTTGGCAAGCGGGTGTGGGTCGGCAGCGCACATGGGGTGTTCTGGTTTGCGTTTTTTTTTTTTTTCCCCCTCCCAGATAAAGTGCCGCACTTTTTTTTTATTCTTTATTTATTGTTTTTTTTTTTTTTCCTACTCTTTTGGCTTCTTCCACTTTTCCACCCGCGTCGTCGTAAACTTTGCTGACGCGGGAGAGCTTGGACTTGCGGTGAAGCGAACAAGGGGGTGCTGCCCGATTGCTGTCCATCTGTCGCCAAACTGCGCCCCAATTGCCGCCAAACCGCCGCCTGCCCACCAAATGACGGACTTCCAGATGGCCTCCGGCTCCCTGGAGGAAATCAAGAGCATATGCAGTGAGCTGCTGAACGCAACGGAGGAAGACGTCTTCAACAAGCTGAGTCTGTATCACGAGTTGGAGAAAAAGTTAAACAAACTACAGCCAATAATAACGCGCATACGTATTCGTAGGAATGAGAAGGATGAATCGAAAAGGATCTATGGGGAAAAGATGATGAAAAATGTGGATACCCTCCTAGAGAGGTATGATATGGTTTACAACATATACGAGGAGGAACTAGCCATCTTTAAAGAGAACTACGAAATCGAAAAAGAAAAAATAGTTGCAAATAAGCTGCTACAGGAGCAGCAACGGAAGGAGCATGAAGCGCAGCTAGTGAACAGAGGGAGGGAAGGAACCAAAATGGAACACTTAACGATTCAGAGGATAAATGAAGAAAAAATGAGGACTCTACAGAACACAGAAGAGGACCATGCGCAGAGGATGAAGCGGGTGGAAACTATAAAGGCGATCATTCAGGAGAAGTGTAACTTCCTCTGTGACGAGATTGCTGCGGCGTGCGACCGTGGCGCGGCCGTGGAGTACGTACATGCGCAGTTGGGCAACAGCGGCAACGCTGCGAACAGGGACAACAACGGCAACGACGCCGACAAGGCCCACACCGCCGACAACGACAACAGCGGGAACACTGCCAATAGGGACAACACCGCCAGCCAGGCCAACAGCGGGGTCCACCTCGTGGACTGCCTCTACCTAATGTATAAGCAAAACGAATTCAAGCCATTCAGGGAGGCACTCCAGAATATCATAGAATACCTAACCCATTTGGTGAAAAACATCGACAACGAAGAAATGAAACTCATCAATCTGATGAATCAGCAGTTCCAAAAAAATATTCTTTCCAAGAGGGGTACTCTTCTCCTATTTGTTTTAATTGGGTATGTCGTGAGAAAGCCGAGGGACGTGCTGCATGTGCTGAAGAAGCTGAACAGGCCACTGGACGAGAAAAACATTTACCTCTATTTGGAAGAGCCAGACATTGCTGCTCACTATGAGGGGTGGAAGTGCTGGTACGATGATCTGCAGACTGCGCTCGATGTGCTGTGCTCCTTCTTCCGCTGCGTGAACAAGTATTCAGACGTCCCTACGGACGAGCAGGTGCGGTCGGATTTTTTGTACCTCCGGGGGAAGTTTGGCGAGGAGGGAAGTGCGACGAGGGGAGAAGTGTAACAACGTCAGAAGTGTGACCACGTCAGAAGTGATGGGGAGCATTGGTGGGCCCCACCGCATCACCGATTATCCGCGGCGCCCTGCGCGATATTGGCTTTCTTAGAAGTTTTACCACGTTTCGCTTCTTCTTCACTATGCGGTTCTTCCCCCCTTTGAGCCGCCTTGTCCGCCTTGTTCGCCTTATCCGCCTTATCCGCCTTGTTCGCCTCCCCCCCCTTGAGGAGATCGCAGATCGCCAGCAGCTCACTGAACTTGGCGCGCACATGGTAGTCGGACATGCGATTCGTGATGTACGTTTTGGAGATATTCACCTCGACTATTCTTTTCTTCTTCCTATGAGCATAGTAACACAAATTGGTGGCAGTCGACACGGAGGAGGACGTGCCGATAACGAGAAGAAGGTCGCATTTCTCAATCTCTTTCTCAGCTTGTTTCAAAATTGACTTAGGAATGACTTCTCCAAAAAGAACCACGTTCGGTTTGAAGATTCCTCCACAGGGACACTCTGGAGGTAGCTGATGCATGAAGTGGGAAGTCTTCTGTAACATTATTTTGTTGAGCTGAATTGTCTCTCTGCATGTGCAGCAGCGAGCTTCGAAGACACTCCCATGGAGAGGAATAACTCTGGAGTTACCACTCTCCTCATGTAAGCCATCAATATTTTGTGTGATCACTGCTTTTAAGTAACCAAGATTTTCCAACGTCGACAAAGCGACATGTCCAGGATTCATTTCGATTTCATAATCGGATGAGATGTCTCTAATAACCTCCCAGATTTTTTCTGGTGCCTTCCAGAATCCCCAAATGGTACCATATATTTTTGGATCATATTTACTCCAGATGGAGCTGTTTGCGCCACGGAAACTTGGGATGTTACTTTCTGCGGATGTGCCTGAGCCTGTTAGGGCCACTATGTAGGTGCATCCCCTTATCATGGACGCCAGATCCTCCAGCGTGATGCTCTCTGTCATCTTCCTCCGGGTGCATATCATTAGGTTCCCCATTGGGGTGTTTCCTACACGATGGGCACGGCCAATCCACCCCTAGGCTTAGCCTTGAGATTCCTTAGAAACCTTTCCTGATGCTTTACGTTGCGCTTGTGGGGGTGGTGCCGACATGGAAAAGCGGCAAGTAGGACAAAATGGGTTCACCTGAAATGGGGTGCGGTGAGAAGCGGTCAGAAGGGATCAGAGGCGGTCTGATGCAGTCAGACGAGTTTCCATCTTAAATAGGGTGTGATCCCCAGTTCAGTTGCCCCCTCTGGCACAAGAGGTAAAAAAGCCAGTTGACAAGGTGCCACTTTTTGTTGCAAACAAATGGCATACCATTTAATGTCTACGCGATGGGGAAACTTGCTGCCACTTGTTTGCGACCGCAGCGGTGACTCAACAATTTAAATAACAATGTTAAGCAGGAAGAGGCAGCAATTTTTTTTTTTTTTCCTTTCTTTGCACAAAGGACAAAGAGGGGTGAAGTTTAGCGATGCGCTTTCCTTCTGCCAATCTGCATGCACGCATTTTATTGCTACAATTTTGACGACAAAATGTGCGCTTAGAAAAGGGGACGCAATTGTTACATCCGTTATCCCAGTTGAATTTTTTTTTTTTTTTTTGTCCTGCTCAACAGTGGCGCGTATTCCCCTGAGGAAACCATTTTTACACTTTAGCAATTTTTTAAAAAGAGGAGTGAAAATCTGCGACTGCGCAGAGACGCCATTCACACAGGTGGTGTGTGTTCTGTGTACAGAGGAGTTTTCTTGTGACGCTTCTTTTTTTTTTCCCATTTTGCGAACCCCATTTGGCTGCCTAATGAAGAAATGAAGTGACCTCCCCAGAGATATTCGGCCGAGCTGATAACTCCGCCCTTTTTACACGGTACCAATCGGCAGATGCCAATATATACCATTCATAAGGACAAAAAAGATACATCTTTGTTCACGCGAAAGGAAGGAACTTGCTCACTCATTAGAAGCATCCACGAAAGTGGCTCATCAGAAAAACGGGACAACATATTTCTTAACCCCGCCCAGAGTAATATACTTCAGAGCTGGTTAACGCTGCCTCAGTATCCCACCCCACTTCAAAAGAGTTGCAACAAATAACTACCTGATGGAATTACTTTGAACTAGATAAGGAGGAGGGAGATAGGCCAAATGAAAGAAGGCGCGAGATTATCTCATTATTAGCTCCTCTGAGGAAGCGGCATCACTGTGTCCGCCCAATTGGAACGGCCCATTCCTCCATCCGTATTTTAATGTATGTAAAGGTATATGCTCACGGCAGCCGCCGAGCAGCCCAGCCATCACACCCGCCGCCCTACCACCGCACCGTTTTTTCTTTTTCCACTCCTAACGGCGTCCTCTTTTCCTTTTGTGTGCCCCTCCGTTCTGTTACGGCAAAATCAACATCACTTAACAAGAAGGTGCCCCCAGTGGGCGTTGAAAATGCCGGGAATATGAAGGGGAAAATCAAAACACTCCCGCATTGCTCCCCCACCTACGCGCTGATCCAATCAGACCATTAACACTCCCCCTTCTCAATAGCCTCTAAAAATTAGAAACTAAAGAGGAGGGAAAGAAGGCCGACGGAAAAGACGTTTCGGTGGAGGAGAAACGAAGGGTGATAGATTTTCTCTTTAGGTTAAAATAAAATAACGATATAATTTCATGCGTACGAAACGAATTAAATCGCTGAGTGTATTTTTAACCAGGGAATGGGGGCAGGGCGTTACCCGTTGTTTCCTCAGCAGGGCGTTACCCGTTGTTTCCTCAGCAGGGCGTCACCCGTTGTTTCCTCAGCAGGGCGTCACCCGTTGTTTCCTCAGCAGGACGTCGTGATAGCTGAGCGGCACGTGCGCAGAGTTATACATGGTGTCAGTACACGTATTGTTATAACTTCGCACGAGCGACAACACGCTTTGGTTTGTTTAATCTGTGTCGACTGCTTTGGATGGGTGAAAAAATTAGGAGGCTTCAGTTTCCGAGGGGAGGAGAAGGTAAAAATTGATTATCGGGGGAGGGAGAAATATGCATAAGGTACACCTTCTCTTTTTCTTTACTGTTACAACAAAAAAAAGGTAGTTCATCGCCACTACCCTTGAGTATTCTTATAACACGGAGGAAATAAAACTCTTAAGAGCATCCAAAAAAAGGTAGAGAAAGCTATAGAGTGAATGATGGTACTTTATTTTTACCCTTTGCATTGGTGAAGAGGTAATATACGTTGGTGATGATTCGGTTGGAAAAAAAACTACTCTTTATATGTCGTGACAGTTGCTTCTCTACCGGAGGGGGTGATTCAAATGGCATTTTTTTCTTGTGGCAATTTCTTGATGTCACTTGGGTAAGTTTATTTTTTATTTTATTCTTTTTTTTTTCATTTTTGTAATACCCCCCACAGGGGCAAAACGGTCTTTATAAATAGGGCACCATCTACTATGTACAATTCTGAACGCCAAAGTTGTACCTTTCGATTTGTGCAGCGGTGGAGGAAATGACTGTCGTTTTTTTTTCGGGGGGAGAGCACAAATCAGCTCCTTTTATTCCTATTTTTGAAAAAATGGTTTTCCCCCCACTGGAGATTATATCATGGTGGTTATTCCCTTGACAAAGATTCCCCTGTTTGGGGGTGGCTCACCCAGCGGGTACCGCCCTCATGGCCTGACGCGGCTATGCCCACGATATCATATGTACGTACATCACCTGCACACCTCTCGGGGAGAGGCGAAAATATGTTGCCGTGAACGGTGCCCACATATGGCCAGAAAAATTGCCATCTTATGTACCCCCATCTGTACGGCCAAAAAGAAGAAGAAAAAAAGGGGGTAAAACACAAAGCGGTGATTTCCACAGGGAAATAAGATGGCTCACCTGTGCGTAGAGACAAGGGGACACGATTCTGTCCAAGCCACGACAGAGCCATTGCAGGCAAACGGCGCAAAGGTAAACTGTTCACAGGAAGGAAACGCGTAACTTTCGAGGGGTGAAAAAGAACAGAAAAAGCAAATAAAATAACTTGTAGCACCCCCCCGGTAAGTGACATACGCGTTGTTCAGCGTCCAGATGACTCCTCACATCGTTAAGAGCAGCGTTAGCTTCGATTTTTCACTCTTTTTTTTTTTTCTTCAAATTTGGTCACTGCTTTTGTGTGGCAGCCACAGCATAGACGGCACTTCTATACCCCAGTTCTTCACTTCTAAGTGGGTATTCACGTGTTAGCCCCAAAATAGGAGGGAAAACCCCATCAGGCGAACTTCAGACAAGCTTCATCAGCCGTCCACATCCAATGGATGAACAGATTTTAAAGAGGCTAACCAGCAGAGAGCTCAAAAGGGTACCCCTCCTCGCCAAAAAAAAAACAAAAAAAAAGAACAAAAAAATGAACAAAAAAATGAACAAAAAAATGAACAAAAGAATGAACAAAAAAATTTCAACAAAATTTCCCCCCTTTCCATTTTCTAAAACGACTTTACTGCCGAGGGACGTGCCAAGCGGATGTTCCCCCACTTGACGCTCCATCCCCTTCTCGACAGACTATTCTGCAAAAGGCGAAAGACATTTTGGAAGAAAGGGAAAGAAGACCAAATGACAGGAACACAGATGGCAAAGGAAATGCAACCACAGAAAATGAACAGTGTTGTGATAAAAATCCTGAGGGAGAAGTAGCACGCGCTTCGGATGTGGATAGGGATGCTCCTCCAGACAAGGAGGACAACTCTTTCTACAGTTTGTGCGACTTCTCTTGTAAATATCTCAACACGGTTGGTTTGATCAAAGCATGCACTTGTGACGAACTATTTTTTCTCTCAGTCCGTTTCGTCGTTTTGGTTTCCCTCCTTCCATCCATCCATCTATTAATCTTTCCTCTCCCTTTTTTTTACAAAACATCGCTTCCCACGCAGTGCCAAATGAAAATGCTGAATCACTCGAACGTCGAATACGAATTGGTCATCTCCTTTATGCGAACCTTCAACAGTGGTTATGCGTCTCTTCCTATACGCAAGGATGTGGAAATACACGCATGTGTGGAAATACACTCATATGTGCAAGTAGACACGTATGTCTTCACATGGACATGGCTGTTCCGCACGTGGTTAGGATCCCGTTTACACTCAACACACACATGCTGGCACCTGTGCAGAGCTCAAGTTTCAGCTGAACCTAACCAACGCCGAGGACGAGGAGGACAAGAAAAACTCAGTGCTTCACGATATGGCCAGCCTGTTCACCGACAAGCTTATTTGCTACTGCACTTCCCCCATGGGTGTTGTGGTCCCCAATGGCGACAGCGACGGCGGCCTTCTGGGTGACGAGCTCCTGGAGCAGATTCGTTTCTTTTTCAGTAAGCGCCCTGGGTAGAGCGATGCACGCACATAGCTACTTCTCTGTGCCTCTACGCATCTATGCGTGTCTACGTGTATTCGTATATCCCTGTGGTTATTCTCCCTCTGGTGAAGGAAATGCCCAAGTCATCTCGTCACAATTCACTACGACCCCTACACAGAGCAAATCGAGGAGAAGAGCCACGAGAACTTCCTATTCAACATGTGCCTTAGAAAAATTGCGGAATGCATTTTCAATTTCAAGCCAAACCGTAATCCGACTTAATTATGTTTCCCAACTAAAACATAGATGGGCAAATTCGCATGGCCACATTTTATCTACTGCACTGTTGGCGTGGGCTTCTGCGCTTGCTCAGACCTGGCGCACATTACGTTGGCTCCTTTGCTGTGTCGCATTTCGTTTTACTTATTTGTATCTTTTTTTTTTTTTTTTTTTTTTTCCTCTCTTAAATAGCAGAGGACGTGGCGAGCTGGATTTCCAGACAGGCGTTGGCCGACCTGGTGAAGGCCCTAATGAGCGATAACTTAAAAAGATACGAACAGTGTAATAATACGCAGGGGGATAAACACGCAACGAAGTGTGTGCACGCAAGGGAATGTGCGTCCCAAGTGTGGAGCTGTGCCGTCCAAGCAGACATCGCATAGAGCCGACGCATCGCATCGAGCGGACAATTCACCCGTTGGAAACCAATCTGCCAGGCATCATCTGCATGACGGACTTTATAAAAGAAAGACACGCGAAATTGAGTTTCGCCCAAGTTGACAACGTTGTACTCATGATCGAGATCGTTCAATATGCCATTGTTTACCTGTCTGAGCGGAAATACAACACGGTATAATAGAAGGGTGTAATACGACAATTTGGCTAAACCCCCCAAGGTATGAAAAACGCCTTCTTTTTGTAATGATCCATACATATTCTCTATTCTTTCTCAGAAATGCTCCTCATTCGTGCGAGAGGAATGGTTTGAGCATTTCACAGATTTGGTATGACCTGTTCAGGCAAAAAAGGAGAAACAAAAAAAAAAAAAAAAATAGCCAATATATGCCAGCTAGCTAAAAAATCGCTTACTCCTATTTTTTTTTTTACAACCGACATTTTCTCCACCTCTTCCACGCGCAGCTGCAGACGCTGAAGAACTCCGAGTGGAAAATATTCTTCCACCAACTGATAGTCGCGGAGACGTTTCTTTACGAGAAGAAGGCTGAAAACACGAACAAGGAGTTTAACAGCTATTACAAGCAGCAGCTGGAGGTGTGGAGGCTGAGAAATACGTCGTACTCCAAGTGGTTTAAAATTGAGATGCCCCTCTCGCTGAGTTTGCTGAAATGATCAGCGAGGGTCTGCCTACACAGGCAACCCATAAGTGTATACACAAACGGGGAGATATGTAGCCTTCACGTCCTCTCGCATGATGGCATGATCGCATGAACACATCGCCACACTACTATACGTCCGCTCAAATCTGAACGACCGCGTGGCGCGCGTCCATCCATACGTACACCGCACACGTGCATATAAGCAGAATACAGAAAGCTATTTCTCTGTGCTACTTTATGGACAACATCCCCTTAATTTTCTTCCCCTGTGTGGTATGTATGCGCCACGTGAATGCATCCATACGTGCATGGGAGTGTAGCAATTGGGTGTTTTTTGACGTACCCCCATGTACATGGTTTTCGAGGGCAGCCACCTAAATATCGTACATCCTGTTGATGCGACGTGATGTGAGGCGATGTAATGTGATTTTTCCTTTTCTTTTCCGCTTTGTATTTGCCAGAAATTTTTCCCTTTTTTTCTTCTTTTTTTTTTTTTTCTGCTTTTCTTTTCCCATCCTTTCTGAGTATCTTTCTTGAAAAGGACATAAAATTTTAAAATCTCAACCGAAGAAAAATTACGGTTCAAATTGGCGCCAAAATTGCAAGGTTGGCGCCGCATTTTGTTATTTTTATTTTTTTTTTTCTTCTTTCCCGTTCCAGCATGGATTAAGTGAGCGAAAGTTTGCCCTCCGTCCTCCTCTTTTTTCCTCCTCACTTTTTTTTTTTCCTTTTTTGCATCCTTTTTCCCCCTTTTTGGATAATTCTTTTTTTTTTCACGAAGCTTAACAGATGCGGGCCATCCCTTCGAAAGCTTCGATTTGCGTCGTGTCATTTGGAGTATACCTGTTATAGGGATATTTCGAGTCTAGAGAAACTGCTTTTTTTTTTTTTTTTTTTTTACTTTCCATCCCCAACGCGTTACCCCTCTAATTCTGCTAAAATAAAAAGGCTTGGTCTACGCCGAGCACATACATACATATATATATACGCGTGGTTTCCTCGTCTGGAAGAACCTCCGCTGTGTCATTTGGTTGGTTCATTACCACAATTCTTTGCATGTTATTTTTTTCCTTCCCCCATGGGGTCTCCCTCCGTTCATGTAGAGATGCTTATGACAGGTTGATTTTTTGTGCATATTTGAATTACGTCATCTCGCGCGTCCTGTAAGTTTAGCATAGAGGTCTAGCGTCGCGCTGCGCATTTCTTATGCATAATAAGCTTCTTTTTTACTTTTTTTTCTTTTTTTCTTTTTTTTTTTTCATTTCATCCCGCGCGAAGGTGAGATAATGCCACCACAGGGGCGCCTGGACAGCCCGACGCCTATAGACTGAGAGTTGTCTCAGCTCGCCGCGCACGGGAGGTCCTATATCCACAAGTCCCTATTCCAGCGGCAACCCGTAAAAACGGTTTGTTAATGACCCTAAGAGGAGGGCCCCTTGTACGGAAGCACGAAACAGACGAGTAGGTCATCCTTTCCGGGTAGCACTTTACTCAGGTTTTGTATATAGTCCCCCCCGTTTAGCAACGTCATCCTCTTCCTCCCCCTCCCCCGTTTGGTGTAACACTGAGCGGCCCGTGCCAAGTCCGCCGAGGCATGTCCGAACAAGGAAACCGGAGGATATTAACAACCGAGCGAAGCAACGAATCCATGGTCACAGGGGATCACGAAGAGGGGAAGCCTGAGTTACTCCAGGGGATAAGTAGCGAGGGGGGCAAAAACAAGGCGAGCCCCTACCCCAGTGAGCTTCCCCTCCCGCATGAGGTGACTCGACCCAAGAGCCACAGTGCAGCCCCAGCACCGCCAAACAGGAACAGTGTTAACCATGAAAAGATAAAGAAGAGTCTAAGTGAAGAGAAGTGCGACAAAAAGTATGCCCACATCCTGTATGATGATGGAAATCCAGAAATCACCTTTTTTGTAAACAAAGAAAATTTAAAAATAGCGAAATATGCCTGGAGAGTGGAAAAACCAAAGGCATATGTATTCGCCTTGCATGGAATCACGTCCCACTTGAGAAATGAATACCTCAACTATATGGGTAGACCATCATGGGTTGATGAGGGGAAACAGAAAGGGGAAATGGCTAGCTGTGCCGTTGGCTGTGAGTATGACCAGATGCAAGGGGACAATTTGAACTGCTGGGACTCAGCTCTGTCTGTTAAGAAATCGGATTGTATGGATGATAACGGGAAGGTTGTGCATGGGGAGAGAGGCGACAATTTTGTGAACCTACCTGAGGAGGGCACGCGCGAGGCGGAAGCGGGGGTCAGCGGCAGGTGCGGGGCTGGCGAGGAGGCAAATGGGGATGAAAGTGGGGGTATAAATGCTGGCACAAATGCTACCACAGATGTTGACACAAATGGGGGTGCGAATCCTGACACAAATTCTGCCGAAAATGCTGCCGCAAACGCTGGGACAACCGCCCCTGCGCAGTCAAGTCGGCACGCCAACAGCGCGAACAAAGATATCCAAAAAAGCAAGCGGGAAAAAAAAAAGAAAAAGAAAAAAAAAAAAAAAAAAGAAAAAAAAAAAAAAAAAAAAAAGAGAAAAGGAAAGAAGAAGAAAAAAAGGACTTTCCCACGACCTTGCAGATGACGGAAGCGCAGTGGTCTGCTCATTTAACAAAATTCTGCAAAACAATTCGACGAACGATATGAAGATTATAAACGAGACGAATAACATGATGTATGATTTTTGTCAACCAAGAGAGGATGCCTCGTCTGGTGTTTCATCATCATCTTCTTGTGACTCCTCCGATTATGGAGAAAAGAAAAACCTGGAGAAGAAGCTAACTATGTTTTTGTCTTGTTCCTCTTGCATTACCAACATAAATGACGGGGGAAATCACATAAACAGCAAATTAAACTTGGGGAGCGCAGAGAGCGTTAGCCACCCCATTTATGAGAACGACGGGGCAGGAGGGGAGTGTCCCCGGGAGAGCATTCCACAGGAGAGGATTCCCCGGGAGGGCATTCCCCGTGATGGAGACTGCCCCAAGCGACTCAAGCTCAACAGTGAGAGAAGCGAAGAGGGCAGCAGCGATGGCAGCTGCGACAGCAGGAGTGATAACCGCAGCGATAGTAGCAGCGAAGACACCAGTAGCGATGAAGACATAATCCATGACGAAAATGTTCTGCTGCCAAACAAATCGGATTTTGAAGTGAATTACGACTCGAGTGTCTACTACTGCTCTATGTGTGGTATATGCAACTACTGCAAGTGTGGGGTAAGAACCCTCTCCTATAAGAACAGCTGGATAGAGACGTTCAATAAAAATGGCTTCTCCTTCTTCGGCATCGATAATCAATCTCACGGACTCTCCGAAGGGTTCAAAAATCACCGATGCTATATAGAAGACTTTGATAACTTCATAGCAGACACACTTCAAGCGCTGGAACTTTTTATTGAGGAGTGGAAAGAAAAGGATGAGTTAAAGCCGATCATCATTATGGGTTTGTCCATGGGTGGTTGCATCGCATTGAAGACTATGGAAACCATCTTTCGACTGAACAAGGAATGGAAAGATCACGTAAAATCTCTAGTTCTCGTCTCTCCAATGATTAGCTTAGGAAAGCAAAAGAATAAAATCAGCAACAGGATCCTCCTGTCGGCTACGAAATTTTTAAAATACATTTTTCCTCTCCTCCCGGTTAATGTAAAAGAGAGCAATGCTAGATATCCCTGGATTAAACATGACGCCGAAATTGATCCCCATCACTATTGTGGCCCTCTCCGGATAAGGATAGCCCACGAGCTTGTCACTGCTGCAGATAGCTGCTTAACGTATAAGAACTTAAAACACATCGAAGAGAGCGACATCCACATTATGGTGATTCAGTCGAAGAATGACTGTGTGGTTGATCCCATTGGAGCCATTGATTTTTTGAGGAAAATGATGCGCCTGCACAGTAGGAGAGAGAGACGGAGAAATGCATCTATGTTAGATGCAGAAAGGGTTCGTCAAGCAAATGCAGTTTTATCCCGCCAAATTAGTGAAAATAAGCGAGATTCCGTGGGCCATACCGATTCTACATTCTTCAGCAGCGGGTACCACCCTGGGGAGGACGATCTGAATGGAAAGAAGCCCCCCCTTACGGAACTCCCCCGTGAGGGAAACACACACATCAGTGCAGCTACGCGGGTCATGGGTCACGTTACAAGCTCCTGGAATACCGCCATCAGGAAAGAGGAGGAGGAGGAGGTGTTGAGCAAATACAACAGCTGCACTATCTTTACCACAAATAGTAATAACCTCCCATCCGAGCGGCAAGCATTACTTCATAATGAAAGGAAAGAAGACCAACATTCCCCCATGTCTGTTAAGTCTTCCTTGTCCATTGAATCCACTAGCCGAATACTTCGAAATGACAGGCACTTCTCGATGGGAAGTTCCAAAGAGGACGTGAAGGGAGAGAAGGGCATATGGACATCCTTTGACCACGGGTACTATAAGTCATTCAATTTGAAGAAACTAAAGAGCGTTGGCGGGGTGGTGGACCCCCATGGGGAGGAGCAGTACAAGAATCTCAGTGTCTACATTTTGAAATATGGTTTTCATACGCTTCCTGGGGAGCCCCACAGCCGCGAGACCGTCACGCTGCTGATCGATTGGCTCAACCGGATATGCAGCTGATTTGGGTGAGTAGAGAAGAAGTGTGTATAAGTGGGAGTGTCTCTCCTGGGCTTTGTGCCTGTGGCGGACAAGTCAACATATGGGCTATATGTATCTTTGCTGATGCACCTTCGTCAATGCGAGTTTTGCGGTCTTCCTGACCCGCAGGTCCGTTTTCATATTCCCTCTTTTGAATCAGTATTTCCTTTTTTTATCTTTTTTTTGTAACAACGTAATGGTGTAGCGTGAGTAAATCATTTTTTTTTTTTTTTTTTTTTTTCCTATACATGCACAGCTGTTGCCATACCGCGGAGGACGCGCGTATACGTCGTTTTTCATGCCGCAGGCGACTAGGGGGCCTTCTCTCCACATTGCTTCGTTTTTGCGCTGTTTTTGCCCTGTTTTCTTTGATTTTTTTGGCTTCCAGGTTTCCCACGGGAACGCGCTGCGATTGTGCGATTTTACGATGATCCGATAGTTCCATCCTGCTTGTCCGTGCACGTTGGAATAAGTGTCTTTTTGAACATTTGATGCCCCCCTTTTTTTTTTTTTAGTCCACACGGAAGCCTATTTGCAGCGCGGGGCAGTTGGACATGTGTGTATGGGTGTAGATCTGCTTGTGGGCGACCTCCAGTCAAATGGATCTGCCGCCCACCGCAGCGGGGGCGAACGCTCTTCACATGCACATTTGGGAATTCTCCTCCCCTGCTTCTTCCACCACAAGTGTGATTCTTTTAATTTTTCGATTTTTTTTGCCTTTTTTTGCCTTTTTTTGCCTTTTTTTGCCTTTTTTTTTGCCTTTTTTTTGCCTTTTTTTTTGCCTTTTTTTTGCCTTTTTTTTTGCCTTTTTTTTTTCCTTAATCAGAAAACATCCCTCCCTTGCAACCTTCCCGATTTTTACCCCCTGCCGGGGTTGTAAATTTTTAACCGAATGTGCCACGTTTAGCCATCTGTGGGGTTTCTCACCTCAACTGGTTGCATTGACGCAGTGAAGCACTGGTAAGGCTTCGATCCGATAGGCCATGTAGCGCCGCAACAGAGGTGTTCTCATTTTATCTTTTTCCGATGGCGAAAAAAGGGCTGTGAGTGGGGGAGGTGTAAAATTATGCGGCGTCTCTGCATAACCACGTCAGCACTTGCACCATTTTACTTTTTTTTTCCCCCTCTACAACGGTATGAGACAACTGTGCGCAAAGGGGAATTTCCAATTCTGTATATAAAGAAAAAAAAGAGGAAAAAAAGGAAAAAAAAAATATCCATGTCGTCGATCGAACAGGAAAAAAACTTCTGCAATTTTTCGTGCAATTTCTCCTGCACCATATTGGGGCCACTTAAATAGAGGTGAACGTTGCATGTAGGGGGCGTTGAGGCACGCGCGCGTGGGGCAACCTCTTCATGGCCACCACAGCGTACATAAGGTGGTATACGTGGCACATGGGAGCAACGCCTTTTTTTTTCGTTTTTTTTTTTTTAACATGAGTGAGATGCTCGACCGGGAAAAACGAAGCAGCAGTTATTTTATGTGTTGCCACGATTTTATACGACCAGCCTTGTTGACTCGTTTTAACTCTCACTTGATGTGAGAAGGGGTGAACAAGAAGAGAAGAGGCAAGAACGGACCGAGGGGGGGACTCCTCACTTTGTCAAAAGGGAGGAGAAGGGAAAAAAAAACAAACAAAGCAGCATTGGAAGTTGCCACGCTTGAGGGAGGCGCCTACATCGTCGATGGCTCTGCGAAGACCCCGAGGGAGGAAAGGGCCATACCGCTGTGAGCGGCCACGGCACATACACATGCACATGCGGATGCAAATGAATACACATATATAAATACGTGCCCATACGCACCTGCGCTTCTGTTTTCGCTTTCCCCTCTGCTTTCGCCTTCCCTTCTGCTTTCGCTTCCCCTTCTGCTTGCGGCAAGACCCCCCCGCTCGAGGGGCAGACCAAAGGGCGGAAGGGCAGAGGGGGCTGCACATGGGGCTGCACATGGGGCCCCAACCCCCCATAAGACGAATGCACGAAGAAAGGAAACTGCCAAGAGAAGGTAGCCTTTAAGAGAAGAAACAACCGAAGGATATGGCCCTTATCAGTTTATGGAATCTCTCTCGGGGGGGGAGGATTCGAAACCATTTTAGTAGACTCCATTTGAGTCAGGATAATTTTTTCCCCCTATTCATGAGCAGTTTGACGAGGCGTGAAGGAAGGCTTTTTCCGAGTGGCTCACTTCCCAGAGTGATTTCGTCGTCGGGGGGGTATAAACATGGAGGTGCTTCGCATAGCGGGGGAAGTGCCCATCTTTGTAGGCGCCCCTTTCACCATGGTACACTCCGCAGCGGAGATGTCCTGGGAGGAATGCTACACCCATGCCTGTTGGGCATCCAAAAGAAATGGACAATCTGGGGCGCAAATTTTAACTCCGTTTCGAAAGAGGAGAAGCCTCCACATGGTGAAGCAGACTCGATGCGGAGACGGGATCAACCAGACTGGGCACACGTCGCTAGCAGTGGGGGGCGTCAGAAAGGAGTTAACAAATTGGCGGACGGAGGGGAGAGCGAGGCAGCATCAGGTGGGGGTCCTAATGGGAACTGCCTACAGAATATGCACTCCCTCCTGGTGTCGAAAAAGATTAAGGAAGCATTAAGCAAGCTCAGAAACAAACACAGTTACAAAATAATCTCGAAAAAAATTAAAAACGAAAAGAACAAAATAAATGCACTACTCTCCATTTATCACTTAAAAAAGGGAAGCCTAAAGCAGAACCTCAATGAACACATCTACAGAAAGGCCGTCATGCACACAAAGACAAAGATCTTTCAGCTTGTAAAAAAGAACAAGAAAAGATCCTTCATAGATATTTATTATGAGGAAAAACGAAAATATAAGCTACGAAAGGAGAAGCTCTTAGAATTACAGAAGAAATTGATTAGCAACTCCAGAGTGGCACAAATGAATGTAAAGAGATTTTTTCAAAGATATGGATACATTGGATTAGGAACCTACTTTATTGTCTTTTGTGTGACTTTTTCATGTTGCTACTTGTTTGTCCATTTCAAATACATTTCCTTGGCTGACTTAACTTACTGGTGCGAAAAAATGCACTTAACGAAATATATGAATGACGACTTACAGAAAAAAATTGATTCCCTATGGGGGGAACTCATTTTCGCGTATATTGCTTCTAAGGTGACTGAACCCGTTCGTATTGTCATCACTATTCTGATCACTCCCTACATTGTTAAGATGATTAGGCTCAAGAGGAGCAGTCGGATCAAATCCTTTTAGCTTCCACGGGTCTTTCGCTTCAGCACTAGGGGGAGTAACCAGCTGCAAAAAAGGAGAAAGCGCATGGACGAGTTGCCAATTCGAAGCACGCCCGTAGTTTTTACACCCACCACACGTCTCAGCTTCTGCGAACTTCAAACGGGGTTCACTGTTGTGTGCTGCGGTGCATACCTTTTTCCCCTTTTACGCGCACGCCGAATGATTGACCACGCGTGCGTAGTGAGTTTGTCTCAATTTGTAGAGGCGGCAAAAGAAAGGGCAGCTTGGAAAGGCTGCCCCCCTGTTGCACTGGCTGTGTTAGCTTCCTTGCCATGCTTTCCTTTTACCGCCTTCTTTTTTGCCGCCTTTTTTTTTAAATGTGTCATATGTGTATTCCCTTTTAACCAACTCCAACGCGCAAACCGTTTAATTCATTTTGGCCATTTTCGCTAGCATACGCGAAAGAGGCCAGTTTCCAGTGCAAAAGGATGAGAAGGACCGATGGGTAGAGGTGCGAGGGGAATGCAGCCCCTCCCCCTTTGTGCATTCCCCGTTTGTTCATTCCCCGTGCGAGGAACCACTGACATCATCCAGTTCGTCCTAACTGCATTGTGCTTGGAACGAGCAAGCAGGAGAACAGTAGACCCGGCAACGTGGCAATATGGGTCGCCCCTCCCTCCCCTCATTTGCAGCCTTGCCGAGTTGGCCTCCTTCCAAAGGTGTAGCCGCTTCTTCAGTCATTTCGCGCAACTGAGAAGATGTGTAAAAAGGGCACATATAAGATGTGCGGCGGATGAGGAGAAGCGGGAGCATAAAATTACACTACATTGCGCTGTTCACACATTTGGGGCGTCCTCCATGGGTGGTTACTTTGGGCCAGTTCTAGAAAACCCTTCCACGTGTTGCCACATTCTGCCCCGTGTTACCGCTTGTTGCTGCGTATGCAGACGTGGGGTGGCGAAGAAAAAGAAGATCGGCGAGGAGGTCAAAAAAAAAGAAAAAAAAAAAACACACATACATATATGCAACAATTTAGTGTCACCTTTCCTGTGGCATTCCCATTTCACAGGTTGAAGTCGAGTCAGCGAAAAATCCTTTTGCGGAATGGCAGGGGATGAACATGTGTACCATTTTGCGTACTTTTGGGAAGAGCAAGGTTTCGCTGCTTCTTTTTTCCATCTTTTCGGGCATTTTTTCCCCATCTTCTTCCCTCATTTTTCCCCTCATTTTCCCCCCCATATTTTCCCTTATTTTCCCAATCTACGCATTGCACTTGTGCTAAGTTGCTCCAGCGAACTGCTCACATGGGCGCATGCACCTGGGGTTGCTACACACCCGTATGTATTTCTTCCCAGTTGCAGCAGCGCTGAGGGGGCAAAAAAAAAAAAAAAAAAAAAATAGAGAACACTCGCATATGCAGAGTTATACACACATGACACACTCACATCATATATCATACCATGCGCATGCGAACCGGGTGGACGTGGCGCGTACGATGAGAGGGCTTCGATTGACTGGTGTTCCTGCCTTGTCACACCTGTTCCACCTGGTCATCCCTTTCGCGTTGACCCAATTTGACGTGCATTTTTTTCCCCAGTGTAAAACGGCGAAACAGTCACGCGACGTTTCAAATGGAAAAATGGGAACTTGCTCAGTCAACCATTTTGCCACTTATCCCATTTTTGCACTTCGCACATTTTTCCACTTCACCCATTTTGCCACTTCGCCATTTTTCCATTTCGCCCATTTTTCCACTTTACACCACTCGTCATTGCGCACTGAAACGAGTTTACACAGGAACGGCTGTACGTGTCACCAGCACACTGGACCACTTGCCCCTTGCACATTTGTACCTCTGGACATTTGCACTTGTTTATATTTTTATATTTTTATTTTTTATATTTCCCGAGGGAGAAGAAAACAAGCAAATAAATTCCCCCATCAGTGTGTATTTGTTAACTCATGCAACGTGGAAAAAAAAAAAAAATAAAAATAAAATAAAAAAAAAAAGGGGACATTTTTGTAAAGCTTTTTCCCAATTATGTGTACACTCTGACGCGTACACCTGTTTCGCCAACTCGTGAAAATTAAAGGAGCGGTCGGACGGACGGGCGAACAGACGATCAGGCGAACAGGCGAACAAGCGAACGAGCGAACGAGCGAAGTGACAAGAAAGTCTCAGCAGAGTGATAACGAAGTCACAGCGACGTGACAACATAGTGACAAACAAACAAAGTGCAATTTTTAACGCCCTTCCGTACACAACCGGAAATTCTGTTCATGGAAATTTTCCAATTTTTCCGCCCTCTCCCCCCTTTTTTTTCCCTCTTCAATTTCACCTCGCCAGTTCGATTCTCCCACCACTGGTTCATTGGGCCCCCCGCGATTTAAGAGGCAAAACTTACCTCCGCCAGTCTCACCGCAAGTCGGCACCGTGATTTTCCCGCCAGCCCCATCACGAATTCCCCCCCATTTCCAGAGGCGAATTTCTTTTTTTTTTTTTTTCTTCAAACACCATGTCGGTAAAAAACAAAATGCACGTGAACCAACTGAACAAAACAATATTTAGGGAAAATTACAAACTTAAAAGAAACTCCAGAGAGGATATTGAATTAATGGAAACAATCGAAAATATTAGTGACGATATAATGCAGAAGAATGACTCGTTTGACAACAGCACATTTGGAAAGTCATCTACGAAAAAGGTTAATGACAAGGGGAATGAGAAAAATAAAAATGACATTAATTTGAAAAATTTGAACAAAAAAAATGACACTGCTAATGGCAACCACGGGGGGGTAGGAAGTGGTGGCACGGACGGAAGCAGCAACAACAAAAACATCAGCGGCGCTACAAATAAGAAAAACAACAGTGGAAACAAGAATGAACAAAAGTTTTTTTCAAACATCGCACAGATATACGAAACGCATGACTCGAGTACCAAGGAGGAACTGCAATCAGATCCCAATAATGAGGAAGACGGCGTCATGTACATTCTTTCCAATGTCATGGCGGTGTTATACATAATCGTGGCCATAGGTGGGTGCACCGATTGGAGTCGGGTGGTAGAGACCCACGCGGGGTTCAAACGCCGTCATTCGAGTTGCACACCGTTTGCACAGGTTTTTCGCACCTTCTGCGGACCGTTTGCGCACCTCCTTTTTCATAGCTCGTTTTACTCCACACTCACTTTCTCTTCCCCCCTGTTCCCCTCTCCCCGCAGTGACCATCCTGCACCTGCACCTGGACGAGGACCACGCAATCATCAAGGCCATCAGCGCGCTGAAGCTCCGATTTGTCGCCCTGATAAAGGACGTGCCGGCCTTCAAAAACTTAATGATCACCGTGGCGCTAATCGTAAGGCACGAGAGGCTCACGTCGCCCGCATGCTCGGATTTAGGGGAACCGACACAGCGCGCCGCGTTTCCATTTAACTTCGTGCATTACGTTTGGCGATTTGCATTTGTCGCACTTTCCGCGTATTGTTGTGTATTTATTTATGTATTTTTTTTTTCTGCAGAATGTCAAAATTAACACCCTCCTGGAGGAAGGGATGACAAAGTGGAACGTCTTCAAGCCGTACATAGAAGCACTGAAGCCACTGAACACCGAATTCACAGTTCTCTTCACCATTCTGATTCTTATGTTTTTCACGGCCATCTCCATTTTAAGCATAATACACGGAATTATAAACATGAAGAATGACAAAATTTTAATGGAAAAAGAGAGTAGTGTTTTTGTGACGAACAAAATGACGATGGAAGAGTATGAAGATAAGTCCTTCACGTATAGCGAACTAGCCAAACTGCATGGCGATAAGGATTATATTTGTTTAAAGAATAAGAGGGCAGGTGAAGGTATTGAGTCGTGGAACTGGCAAGTGAGAAAAATTAAAGGCGGAAATAATGATAAGGATATATGCAGTGACATCGAACTTTCTGACGGGGGAGAAAACTAACTGGCTCTGCGGGAGGATGGTGACACACCACAGTCTTCTACGTTCTGTACCTACATGAAGTGACCCCTTCATGGGCCATGTATATCTGCACGTCCGTTTAGCAATGCATGTCCTCATCTCTTGATGCCGCCATTTATTGGAGGCCCCCTCCCACCCAATTTGTTAAATATTTGTAACTCTGATTTAATGTTTAGTCGCTGTTTACAACTCTTTAAATAGCGTTTTTATTCACTCTTGAATTCGCCAAGTGTGCGTTTTGCATCAGTCCAAAAGCGTTCCGTAGGTGCAACTGTGCATACGGAGTGCATACCTAAGTGCATGCGTCAGTGCATGCGTGGACTTGTCAGCAGAGAGCAAAAGGTGTGTCAACGCTCGAAAATACATGCCCCATGTGCTATCGAAGAGAAGGAGAGTTCCACAGAACAGACGCCTGCAAAGTGCATCCTCACACGACTAGCCTACACAAGCTGCAGAACAGATGGCACAAGGGGCACACCATAACACCCCGTGATATTGCTGCAAGTGACGTTTTCAATGAAATGCCCTTCTGCGCGCAAATATTTTTTATTTGAAAGGCGAAATGGGCAGGCACACGTCAGCGTTATACGTAGTACACACATATATATTATATAGAGGCAACTGACGATAGTGCCCCCCCATTTTTTACTCCTCATTTTTTATTCCCCCTTTTTGGCATCACTTCACATCAGCGTTATGCTATCGGCATAACACCCTAATTTAACATTTTTATATCAGCATCTTTTGACCCCCTTCATTGTCCCCCCAACTGGTGTGTGTGCAAACATGCGTACATGCATGCGTGCATACGTGCACACGCACATACACATATGTATAGTTTTTTTTATGTTTTTTTTTTTTCTTATTTTTATTTTTGCAACTTAGTAATTCTTCTCAACACACTGAACAAGGGATTCTCATGTGCGTGCGTTCAGCTGTTTATATAATGCTATCATGACCCCTCACGTGGATGTGTGCTTGCACGTGTTCTCAACTTATTAGTTTATTCCCCTTTGATATGTAACCTACCTCCCCTCCTGTCACTTGTTAACAATAAAACCACGCACCAGTGAGGATACGCAACGGTGCCATTTTACACGTTACACATTATTGTCTTCCTCATTGTTGTTACGTTTTTTTTTTTTAATGTAAAAAGACGTGAACAGATACTTTTCCTTTTTGTTGTGCTTCCCCTTTTGGCAAGGGGGGAACAAAAATATATGTACCACTGGGTACCATGTGTGTCATAAACTTTGTACCTCATCGTCTATTATTATCAGTTGTGACGCGCTTCGTTTAATCCAGTGCGTTTACTTGTGCAAGCACAAATAGACCTATGCACACCTGTGCCTAGATTTTTTTACGTATGCTTCTGCTTATAAGTACACAGCATAATAAACCCACAATGTAGGGACTCGCTCGGGGAATACCAATTCAGGACCCCTTAAAATGTTTACACAAACGGATGTGTTAGTTCGATCGGTCATTTCAGGGTGGGTGATTTTCACAAATGGGTG